AGGAGAGGTTTTTCATTGCGAATTTTCCCAGTTTTAACAAACTATTTTAATATTATTGTCGAACTAGTCTGCCATTTCACTTAAAACTTTTTGAACTGCATCTGGAATTTGCAATTTCGTAAGCTTTAGTCCCTAAATCAAATTCAATATGAAACTGAATTGATGGACGGGTGCTCCAAAATTTTTAAGGATATCTAAATACTTCGTTCAAGTTGCAAGTTTTTTCAAGCAAAATTTCTATTCTCACTCCGGCCGTAAGGAAGCCGTTATGACAAAAAATATCGTTCGTCATACGCACTAAAAAAATTTTCTAGCTCATATGATCGCAACCCTTGCCTTCGAACGCGTATTCGTCTATACATACTTATATTCATTTTCGGGCTGCAAACTCATATTCGCCAGACAAGTTTTTTTCGGCGTAATGACGAAATATACAATTTCATCACAATGTGTGGAAAGTGGGATTTTACGCACACGGAGCGTACGTAAAATTTTACATTACAATGATAACAATGGATCTACATGAGCAACTATGTTACGAAGTCTGATGGCTCCAAGAGGTTAAATGCATTTATAGCAACCAGTTTCCGACACACACTGTTAGAAAAAAAATAGCATTTCATGGCCAGTTGACTACCAATTTTTAGGACAGGGACACTGAATGCGATTTAGGGGAAAACTAATCATGAAATTTCAGATTTCACTGAAAATTCTGTAGAATTCCGGAATTTTAAGGGGGATAAAGACGAGAATTCTTTAATTTATTTGAATTTCCAATCTAATATGAATATTCAGTGTAAAATTGCATTGAATTTTTAGTGAAATCTAAAATTTCATGATTTTTTCCCCCTAAATCGCATTCAGTGTCACTGGCGTGAAAATTCAAGAATATTCTGAATGAATGTTCTGGTTTTATATTTATTTTCAGGAAAAAATAGAACGGAAATTTACAGTTCTGTTTGATTTTTCCACGAAATTCTGAGTTTTTAAAGACAAGATTTCCTGAAATTTCAGTGGAATTGGAACACGATGAAAATTTCCGGAATTTGGCACGGAAAATTCAGACAAAAATTTTTAACAGTGCAATATACGTCGAATACTTCAAGATTAACATAAAAACTGTAATATTTATCTATCAATATCCCTGAAAGATTGAAATTACTATATTATCTAATTGCCCGCTAGGAAGTTAGCAGGTAATTAGAGCCTATAGCTGCTCCAAAGAATTTTTCGAGGAAACTGAATTATTTCGTCATTTGACAACAAAGAAAATTGAGTCAGGTTCAATTAGGTAAAAAATAACGTGAAGAGGGTGACTGGGTCAAATTATGACTGTTGTGGGGTTCATACTAGCTGTATCCCCGTCGCGAACCCTGCACGGAGAGAAATATTCAATAAAAATGACGTATCTTTTCCGTAATTCCAGAGCGAAATGTGGTTGTAGGAAATTTTACGGAACTGTCGCGTAATTTTTACGTAAAATCACGGAATTGTTCCAGAGCGTTCCATAATTTTTATCTGAATCTCCTGTGAAAAATTACGATACTATCACTTAAGAGAAGACGGAACCCCTTTGTCTACATCAAATCTTAGAATTGTGTTTTCTCCTACAATTATTAACTTCTATCTATGAAATTACTTTATCGACTCGATTATCGCATTGTTGAGTCAATGAAGTAGTTTAATGAATAAAAAATGATAATTGCAGGAGAAAACACAATTCTAAAGATTCATATAAACGCAGGGGTTCCGTTTGCCCTTAAATTTTCTGAGTCGATTCCGCAATCGGTGAGCGAACTGTGAGTTCCGTAATTTTTACTGAACATTTTTCTCCGTGTGGGTAATGCTAAGTGCCGGTGAAACTTGATACTTTAAGAATAAGGGCTTCACTACACATTGAATTTATATGAACACCTCATAATTAAATTTTTTTTTTGAAAAGTGTGTTTTAACTCGTGAGAGGTAAGTAGCACTCGCCGAACCCTTTTTTTCATTCATCACAATGGATGAAAAGCGGGATTCGTAAAATCCTACTTTACGCACAAGTGATGAAAAAAAATTTCTCACATGATTGTTCGACCCTTGAACCCCCAAAAATCCCCTAAATTGTATTTTTCGCCAACAAATATTCCGCTGGTTTCCGCTTCCTAATGCGATGTCACTTCTTTGAAAATTACTACCAGACTTTCTATGAAATTCCATTCTTTTATCGTCTGAGCCACGAGCGTGACATCTGGAAATGCAACGACTCTATCTGTTCAAATTCTGAGAGTAGGAATTACCCAAATAAATTATTCCTTCGACTTGTATGATTCGCACAATCGAGAATTTGAGGAGAAAATAATGAGTAATTTTTATTGGTAATTTCCTCAGCTAGAAGAAACGTCAGTTTATAATTGGTCGTAAAATCTCTTAATTCCGCAATTGATGACAGCGCCGTGTCGGCATTATTACATTTTACTGCGGTCGTAACAGAATTAATTAGATTTCAGGAAAAATGCATTTTGGAATTTTTTTAGTGTAAATAGTCGTTGAAAAACACTTCCGTGACGTGGAATGAGGTCAGTTGGATATGATAATGCTGAAAATATGCGCTTTAATAGATATTCATTACTACGCTTCAGAATTGCAAATTTGTTGCTGACGATTTTTTTCTGAGAACTTTTGAAATTTCATCAGATATCAATGTTGCTGGACTTAATTTCTTCGCTAGAGAGTAGGGGAGACAGAGGCAAAGCGGGATAGCTAAGACAAATATTGCTAAGATAAATATTGGAGGTACAGTGGGGTAGTTGTCCAAAAACTTTAAAATAATTCTAAATGTTATTTCTTTGTTTTTCACCTTCGGATCTCCAAAAAACGACAGAAAAAACTCTGAAATCGGTAGGGTTTTAATCCAAATGCCCAATATGGCGGCTCATCCCGGTGTTTGAAAGAATTGGAAGAATTTCCAGAGTTCTTCCATTTTTTAAAAAATTTTCCTCAGTATTATTCAATTTTTTTAGCTGTTTTTGACTTTTTATTGATCCTTGATCGATCCATCGTCAACCCCTTTAATTTCTCAATTTTGGCGTTTTTTTATGTACCCCACTATGCCCCGGCCACCCCGCTTTGCGCCGATTTCCCCTAGTTCATTAATTGTTTCTACTCATTTTTCGAATAATTTCGTTGATTGAGGGCTATGATCATCAATTAAAAAATCCCTCATAAACGAATTTTGTATTTTGTCAATTGTCTGGTCTTGTCGGGAACAATCCATTTAAAAAAAAAAAATAACGAATCGGAATATCTGAAAAAACATGGATTGAATAAATTAGTTACAATTCCGAACGAATGATTTTTCGAATGAAAACTTGATAGTTTATTTATAAATTATTTATAGAAAACGCTCATAATTTTCCAAAATTGCAGTTTTAAAATTATTTCATCAATCTCCCTTCAAAAGTAAACATTCGATTTTTTCTTTAATTTTTAAAATGTTTTCTAATGATTCAGTACAGGGAGATTCAAATTCAGACCGGCAAAGTTTAAACCAGAAAATCATTGTAAAATGTCCGGAAACTTAGAGTCAAATGGGGCTCAAATGAAATCTCTGATGTTCGCCGACAAAAGTAGAAAATTATTTTACTGTAGGGGAGGTTGGGGTAAAATGG